CGCCCTTTTGTGTTACATTTTTCAAACAGGAAATGGGCGTGGGGTTGGACTCTGGAAGGGGGTAACTTGCTCTTTAATGTTCATATCAAAGATAAATTAAACAGCTTAACGAGATTTTGTTTTTGGAAACTCTCTTTTTATTGTTTCATCTTTAGCCAGGAGGGCATCAACAGCCTCACCAAGAGGAACAAACATAAGAAAAGACAAACAACAACAACATTGGTGCTTCTCATCTCCACTGATTTACTGTAAAAGAACCAAGTCTGTTAGCTGTGCTGTTGCATCCATGTAAATAAATATTGTTGATGTAATAACAGTGAAGGAACCAAGTGTCAAATGCATGTTCCTTATATAATGTACATATTTTAGATACAATCTTATATATATATTTGTTCCATATACTCTCCTTAAAATATTTTTACAGAATGCCAGATAGCACCAAATATGATGCTTTCAACGACCGGAGGAGAAATGGAGTGGTTGCAGCAGCAGTCATTGAACATTAAGCTGCAGAACTGTTTCTGATGGATGAAAGATCTCTTCGTTTTGAATGCATGGATACAAAATCTGGATAAGTGAGTGAGGAGGAAGCAGACAAGCTCAATGCACCTTTCTCTGTACGTATCAGTACAAACAAACTGGGAATTTATTTTCTCTGAAATCAGGAGAATTATAGTTTGGTGTATTTTCATTAACCCAGTAAAAAACAAATCAGAGTAAAAGGTTCCTCTCAGGATCTCCAGCAGCACCAGGGCTCATCTGAAGCCAAATCCACATTAATCCGATTTAATCTGAAAAATTGGGCGAGTTATCTGACAAAACTCCTGTTTTCAATCAAGCAGCTGTTACTGCAATGCTAGTGCTGCTTGCAGGAACGAACCTGACAGCAAAAACCTTTTCAAATAGTTTCAAAACCTGTTTTAGTTGAAAACATTGAAGGTCTAAAAAGTGTTTTTGTTTTTAGAAGCTAAATAGCACGAATAATGTCTAGATGAGAAAACAGTGCTGAACAGATGCTTCAGAGCACTGCTGATTCCTTTATTTCTTCCAAGCTGTCAGACTTTCCTTTATTAACATCTTTGTTCAGCAGAATAACAGATGGTAAGAAATAGCATCAAATCATCAGCATATACAATTTGTTTACATGGAGGGGGCGGAGCTTCAAATGTCTACATGAACAGTAGGGCGCTCTTGTTTAGCTTCAGGTCACGTTCCTGTGCAAAAGGTCTTATCTCTGCCAGACTTTTTTATTGGTGATGTTTTTTAAAGCAACCAAAGGTAAACAAATAACTTTGAAATAGTCAGAAAGTCTGCAGAACCTTTGATCAGGACTACAAGAAAGCCAAAATAAAATCACCACATTGCAAGAAGATTTAATAAAAGCAAGAATATCCAGCTTTTTAAAGCAAACTATAAAAGAAATGCAGGCAAAGACTTTTGCAAGGTGCTGTGAATTGCTGTGTTCGTAACTCTACTCCCAATGTAGAACCAGGCAGGTTCGTGTCCATCATGGGGATCCCTTTATTTTGATCAACTTTCATCATTCAGAGTTTTCCAAACCCTTCTGAACAGGCTGTGTGTGCAGTAAAGATGTGTTGCAATGAAAAAAATCTGATCAGAATAAAAATACTTATGCAGGTAACAGCCCTATTTACATATAAAAATATAGCTAAATAACATCCAACACATGTGTGTGTCAGAAAAGCACACACACACACACACACACACACACACACACACACACACACACACGCACGCACTCCAGCCGCTGCGTGGGTTGTTTTCATTTGCATCCTGAAAAACTTCCAAACAAAGTTAACTTATGAGGACATGTATGATCTCATCTGACCTCATGACAGCATCCTGCTTCCTCTCAGCATCCCTCACTTCCAAACCCATCCCCACCCCTCCCCCGTTTTCGCCAGCCCATTAAGAGCTAACAGGAAGCTAATTGCCTGTTTGATCAGCTCTCTGTGGAGCTGGAACGCGAGGCTTTTAGCCATCTCAGCTTTAAAAGACAAGACAAACGAGACAGGAGGGAGAAACAGAACGAGTGTGTTGGTGTAATACGTCTCGCCTCGTCTGCTTTGTCCGGTTTCTGGAGTGGTTATCACTTATAAAACCTCTAAAGAAAGAAGGTTAAAGACATAAAGAGGCAAATGAACCATGTCCTGATTTTTTATTGTATAGTTTCTTTAAAATTTTAAAGAGCAAGTCACCCCCAAATCAACTTTTTTTTTGCTGATAAGCTTTATAAATGAGTGTGTGATCATGCTGTGGATACATGTAGTCAATAATTTGGCACTTAAGTGCATCTTTGTTAAAATTTAAATATTTTGCCTAAAACTGTCAGTGTTGCACCCTTTTCAGGCAAAACCTCTACACTGCATTTTAATTTAAGTCTGCCCTTGCTATTGGCTAAAAGGTACCCTATGCTATTAGCTGGTACCATATGATGTCACAATGTTGCGCAGAGCCGGATTAACGCAAAGGCAAAGTAGGCACGTGCCTAGGGCCTGATTGGCTGGATGGGGCCCAGACAGAGGAACAAAATTATAAATAAATAAATTAAAAATTAAATGTACACATGTCCTATGATAGAATTTGTAGCTAGGACTCCTATCTACAATTTGTTTCAATATTTATTAATTAACTAAAAATAGTGACAATGTTTATCTTAACCACAGACCGTTTCATTGGCTACGTCACATTAAACCTCTGGGGTCCACGGACGAGTATACGCGTCTTTTGAACAGGTCTGATTTGGGACGCTGTAGCAGCAAGACTCCGCCTCCCTGAGTTTCGGTTTCAATTCAGCTTTAAAAAGCAGATTATAAACTACACCCCAGTTTTTAAATTTTGTTAATAGGCAACGTAAAAGCGGAGCTATACTAAACTAAAAAATGACCTATTTTTAGACAATCTGATAACTTGTCAAAACAGCGGTTTAGTAATCTGTGAGCGGGAATGTGCTTGTGTGAACATTAAAAACTCACAAAAACACGAGATCCTTTTGCTGTTGGTGGACGTCTCACATATTCAGCTGATAAAAAGTATCACACGAGTAACGAGATGTGCGCAAAAAGGAGCCGCTTCGCAGGGAAAGTAGTGGCGCGAACGGAGTAACAACAAACAATTAGACAGATATTGACGTTAAACTTTGTATTTTGGAGCGATCCGGACAGATATATTGTCTCTGCAGTTTAGTAGGCTTTTATTAGGCTTTAATAAAGGATGATGAGAATTAATGTCCACCAGGCAGTTCAGATAGTACGGCTGTTTTTTGAACTGGAAGCAGAGGAAGTGGACGGAGACTCACAGCTGGAGTCTGAGGCAAATAGCGAGGATGATGATGATGATGTGGCAGATCCATCCTTCCTCATAGAAGAGTTGGGTCATGATGAGGTAGAGGATGAAGGCAGAGATCCAGCTCCTCGGAGATCCATCAAGAGGAGTGGGCGGCGCCGTGCAGCTGTCAGATCTCGGCGTGAGATGGAGCCTCTCCCCACTCCAAAATCCATGTACATTATTGCCAAATTAATAAATAAGTATAAATTCAGATAGTCCAGGTTGTCCTGAAATTAATGATACCCCATAAGGCAATATTTATTGTTTTTATTAGAAAATACAAAAGAAAAACCAAAATGAGTCAAAAACGGTGATTTACACTCTGGATCCCAGAGAGCTAATAACTTTTTTTAATTAGTTATTTGCTATATTTAGTCATATTTTTTATAAATGTACAGTCTAGATTACCAGTCTAAATGATAAAAAACATTTGTCATAAATGTTTGTTGGTTTCACAGTAAAATAAACAACTTTTTTCCTATTCAGATTTTATGTTTTTGAGTGATTTAAGGTCTAATACGCAACCCCTTTATGTCCAAATATAAAAAATAGGTATAGATTCATAAAGTCCAGGTTGTGCTGAAAAGATTGATACCACATAAGGCAGTGGTTATGGTTTTTAGTTTGGAAATACAAAGGAAAACTCACTGCAAATTACACCCTGGACCCCAGAGGGTTAAGGCGCCACCCAATGAAGGACGTCAGAGAAGCGGTCAGAGTTAGAGCGGGACACAACAAAGCTAGCAGGTGTTTTTGAGTAGGCTAACTTTCAGGATGCTTTCGGGTGCGGCAAAACGTAAAAAAGAAAAATATTTAAATGAAGAGGAACTAAAGAAGAGACAGCGGGGGGCCTTACAGAAGTTTCTGTCGGGCTGCTCGGGCAGCCGTCCGACAGGTGTGAACATGCTCGAGTCAGCAGAGCCAGAGGCCGGGCCCAAGTCAGACCCGGAGGTGACACAACCCGAAGACGCGGTGGAAGATGTGGCGGAAGACGATGTAGCGCCAACGCCGTCAACATCAGCGCCTTCACAGAAGGACAAACTGGAAGAACAGCAGCCAGCCAGAAGTGAGCCCAATATAGTCTTACAGGAGCCCCTAGACCCAGACAGGGTATTAACAACTAGCTACCCATCTGATCCTGCAAAGTGGTACCAAACTGATGAGTACTTTGCACTAAACTATCCCTCTCAAAATATTGGATATTCTTCTGCATCACAGAGGAAATCTGGAGACATAGACTGAAGCTTAACCAAGGAACATTTCTTTAGACGTGTTTCTGCTGTGATTGAGGCATGTGATGCTGGAAGGCTGAAGATTATCCCGGAGTAGAGAATGCTAAATGGTTTCCTTGGTAAGTGTTGCTGGTTTTATTAATTATTTGTCAAATAATTTTATTAATGTTCAAATAGCAAAACAATAAGTTCACACTCAGAAAATTGACAGAATTTCTGATTCAGCAGAGGCAACAGCCTACAACACATGACTTATTTTGGCATACAAACAACCAATTTGTAACCAAAAACTAGGCTATGTAAAATGTGAATGAACTTTTATAAGTAAATTTTGTAAGTTTCAGATTTCAATTCATTACATAACATCGATGGAGGGGGGGCCCTAAAAATGCAGCCTGCCTAGTGTAGTCCATTTATTTAATCCGGCTCTGTTGCTGTGAGCCTGTGTGTGTATTTGTTATTGGCTCCGCCCTCTCGATCTGCTAGGCAACGCCTCCTTGTGGAGCATTTTTCAAACAGGAAGAGGGAGTGGAGTTAGACTCCAGTAGGGGGTGACTTGCTCTTTAATTTACTGTGATTTTTCTGTATGATTGATAACCTGAACCAGAGCACAGAGCTATGACCGCTCTTTAAAACATATACTACAAAAAATGAACAAGTGGAAATGAAAACTAAAATATTAAACTGAAAAAGATTTTTGCTCAGTTTCAACAGCAACTGAAATTCTCCATTAGGAGTTAGAACTTTAAATTTACTTTAAAATAAATGTGGTTTCGGTTTGAGCAGATTTTTTCCTACACGGTCGACGCAGAACGTCAACAGGAACGACGCTGACGGTATTATCATTAGTCGTGTGTTCATTCTTTCGTTTTGTTGTGTTTTTGAATCAAACATTCCCAAAATAATTAAGATGTGGTACTACGATGTAAGAAAGCTTGTCAAAGAAAGCTTTTTCTGGTAAAGTTTGAGTGTTTTTGTCGGTGAGGAAGGAACTAACGCAAAGAGCAACAAGGTGCAGCCTGTCCCGAATGAGAGGAGGTGGAGGAGCAGGTCGGTCGGAGGGGTGAGGCTGGCGACAGGCAGACTTCCAGAGGAAACCTGACCAGACCCCAGGAGCTTCACTAAAGCAGCGCTGCTAAAAATAACACAAGGGAGGCTTCTTCTGACAAAACAACAAACACACAGGCTACCGTAGGGCTGGGACACACACACACAATGGATGCATCCTCTCTCTGGTTAAATAATCCCCCGCTCGACTCTGGGCGTGAAGGGAAACATCGTCCCTTTTTACCTCACAGTGCTTTTTCTTTACAAATGAGCTCAACAGCATTTAAATTCAGGTTTCTGTTCCTTTTGGTTTCAGACTCTGTTCACAGTTTCACTCTTTAAGCTTTGATGATTCCTGGTAAAGCATCCGACTCAAGAGTCACCATTTTCGCTTTTGGTTCCTGGCTTTTCAAAAGAACAGAAACCATCGCCGTGGGTGTCTCCCCGCCCTCGTTCGGTCCCTCTCCGAGCCAGCTCTTTGCAGAGGGTGGGAAGGAAGGAGGTTCAACAATAAATATGTTTGATCTGACTCAGATAACACCACAGAGAGGGGAGGTTTTTCTGTCAGGAAGTGGAAGGTTAAAGGGCGAGTGTTTGGTCTTCGGGCATTAATGGCTCCAACGGGAACAGGCACAGTAAAGCTTTGGTCCCTCTGGAGGAAAGCCATGGTTTGGGTTTTTGTAGGGAGGAAGTTGAGTGGTGATATCACACGAAGCCTGTCATAAGGGCTTCTCTAGAGCTTTGCTTTGCAGTGAGGGATGGCCGGCGTTTAGGCTGGAGGCGGAGCTCTTGCGACACACAGTATTGGTGTTGCTGCACCTGCAGCCGGGCCGGTTCATCCGGTCGTTTGCGCACTGGCACAAGGCAAGGCACAGCCTAGCAGGCAGGTAGCAGCAGAGGCAGGGCAGGCAGAGCGCCAGCAGGGCCATGGTGGTCCAGCGGGCGCAGGCGTGAGCCGGACCGCAGGAGCACGGTCGGTCGGCGCAGTCATCCTCGTCATCCTGCGCAGAGCAGTGATAGAACAGGCCTTTCACGCAGCACAGGCAGGTCCCGTACTCCACGGCAGACTCGGCGGAGCACAGGCAGCGCTGTCCACAGGTCCAGCAGGATGGGAGCCGGCGGGGGCTGCAGCACTCCCTGCATTTACAGCGACCACATCGCTCACAGATAAACTGATGGCGACCGAGCTCAGACTCGTCGTCAGTCAGAACTTTACCAAAGGAAGAATCGAGCTTCAGCTCCCCTTTAGGCTGAGAATGGACCACAGAACTCAAGCCCGAGTGGGATGGAGTCAAACCAGCCAGGAGCCGCTGGTCGGAGGTGGCACTGGTCCGAGAAATGGAGGAGCTCACGGTGCTGGAGCGGCTCAGGTGGGGAAAATGAGCATGCTGATTCTGACTCTGGCTGCGGGATAGGGCAGAGGAGAAGGAAGGCTGGGGGTAATGGGGGTACACTCCCTGTGGGAACCGGTCCTCATGGGCATAATAGAATCCAGACTGGGATGCTGGTTCCAAGGCCACGGGTCTGTCCACATAGTCATTGTTGGCCCGGATGGCCCGGATCTGTTCCAGGGAAAGCACAGAGTCCATCTCATTTCTAAAGGAACGAGTCGGTTCCATCCTGGTGATCCAGCTGATTGCTACCAGGGCCCGAGGCCGGGTCCGGGGTGAGGTTCGGTCAGAGCTCACGGCACATCGGACATTTCTGGAAACACAGAAACAACTGTGATTAACTGAGTTAACTGCTTTACAGAACCCCAACGGCTTTAATCAGACCAAAATAAAAGGTCAATGGCCTGTATTCCAGACAGCACCTTCTGGAGTGCTAGAACCCCCCAACACACACTCACACCCTGGTGGTGATGGCTGAGGGAATGAGCAGGGATCAAACACACAACCTTCCAAACCTTCCAAATACGGGATGGACACTTTTTCTGCCACCGTCGCCCCAAAGAACCGATCCAGGTTCTGGATGGGTCTGCTCTCAGAATAGCAGCACACAACTTTTCTGCTACTCAGAAACCGGTTTTTAACACATTTATCAAAATGTTTGTCACATCTGAACCCATCCCTGCAGGAATAAACTAACTTTGGCCCCTTCTTCATGGAATTCCCTAGCCTGGCCTGCCAGACTCCTCCTCTGGTTAATTCTACACAGAGAAACGGTCTGGGAACTGTCCTATTCAATAACCCCGCCCCCTGAGAATTGTAACCGAGCCAATCAGCGCTGAGCAGCGTACGTCGCACACCACAATGCCGAGTTTGTCATAAACATGGCGACTGAAGCGGAGTTCACTGCAGCTCTTTCCTTTGTTCTAAATTACTTGGACACGTCTTTAAAACCACAAGCAGAAGCGCTTGGGCTGCATGGTGACGCAGTGGTTAGCACTGTTGCCTCGCAGCATGAAGGTCGCAGGTTCGAAACTCGGCTGCGGCCTTTCTGCGTGGAGTTGCCTGTTCTCCCCATGCATGCGTGGGTTTCCTCCGGGTACTCTGGTTTCCCCCACAGATCACAACATGCCCTATAGGTTGTAAATTGTAAGTCGCTTTGGATAAAAGCGTCTGCTAAACGACTAAACATAAACAGAAACATAAAAGCCTTTCTTCTAAAGAAAAAAGGTTGCGCCGTCACCAGATGCCATTTTTGACTACAGCTAAAAAAACTACAGCGTCATGCGATACAGTCTGCATTTCCATCTTTTTTCTGATTGGTTATTTTTGAGCTGCCTAGTCCCGTCCCTCATGTGCCCCTCTGCCTGTGAGTAACCAGACTCTCTGTGCAGAATTAACCAGGACAAGTCTGGCAGGCCAGGCTAGGAATTCCACCTCTCCGTTTGTATCCTGATGACTTCATATCCAAGATCAGGAGTTTGCAGCCTTTACAATCCAAAGAACTATGTTTCTCCACGGTCCACATTAATAAATCTTGTTTAGAGCTACAACTTTTACGCAATCTTTTAAAAATATACAATTATCTACGAAAGAGAACTAGAGCCACGGTAAAAAATATGTTTTCTCAGGTTTCTGAGTAAAAACTCAGAATTCTGACTGTTTTCCAAGATTAAACTCTCTAGTGTTTGTTTTTAATTTACTATAAAAGATTTGTTGTCACCTAATGGAAAAATAACCATTCTCATTCATTGCAGTAAGTTTATTAAAAGTGCAAATCTGTCCTTTCATATCTATTGAAACAGGAGTTATTTTTTCATCAGTTCAAAGTTACTAAAAGCCACTGTGGGACTCCAACGTGGCTCCAGAGCAGCAGGATGCAGAGCCCTGCCCTAGATGGAGCACTGTCTTCTACAGAACGCAACACCTGGAGAAAAAGCGGTTCCACAAAGAGGAAGTAGAGCCTAATTGATGCCATTCAAGTTGAATTCATCCAGCCGATTTTGGACTAAATTTGATGAGTTGCTGAAAATGTCAGAAAATATTTTGATCCTCTGCTGCCAACTTTCTGTGAGGAGTTAGCATGTTATCCCCATGCACGTGTGGAGTTAGCGTGTTCTCCTCATCCATGTGTGGAGTTAGCATGTTCTCCTCATGCACGTGTGGAGTTAGCATGTTCTCCTCATGCACGTGTGGAGTTAGCGTGTTCTCCTCATGCACGTGTGGAGTTAGCGTGTTCTCCTCATGCACGTGTGGAGTTAGCGTGTTCTCCTCATGCACGTGTGGAGTTAGCATGTTCTCCTCATGCACATGTGGAGTTAGCATGTTCTCCTCATGCACGTGTGGAGTTAACGTGTTCTCCTCATGCACGTGTGGAGTTAGCGTGTTCTCCTCATGCACGTGTGGAGTAAGCATGTTCTCCTCATGCACGTGTGGAGTTAGCGTGTTCTCCTCATGCACGTGTGGAGTTAGTGTGTTCTCCTCATGCACGTGTGGAGTTAGCATGTCCTCCTCATGCACTTGTGGAATTAGCGTGTTCTCCCCATGCACGTGTGGAGTTAGCATGTTCTCTTCATGCACATGTGGCGTTAGCATGTTCTCCTCATGCACTTGTGGAGTTAGCATGTTCTCCTCATGCACTGTGGAGTTAGCGTGTTCTCCTCATGCACGTGTGGAGTTAGCATGTTCTCCTCATCCATGTGTGGAGTTAGCGTGTTCTCCTCATGCACGTGTGGAGTTAGCGTGTTCTCCTCATGCATGTGTGGAGTTAGCGTGTTCTCCTCATGCACGTGTGGAGTTAGCATGTTCTCCTCATGCACGTGTGGAGTTAGCGTGTTCTCCTCATGCACGTGTGGAGTTAGCATGTTCTCCTCATGCACGTGTGGAGTTAGTGTGTTCTCCTCATGCACGTGTGGAGTTAGCATGTTCTCCTCATGCACATGTGGAGTTAGCATGTTCTCCTCATGCACGTGTGGAGTTAGCATGTTCTCCTCATGCATGTGTGGAGTTAGCATGTTCTCCTCATGCAAACGTGGAGTTAGCGTGTTCCCCTCATGCATGTGTGGAGTTAGCATGTTGTCCTCATGCACGTGCGGAGTTGGCGTGTTCTCCTCATGTACGTGTGGAGTTAGCATGTTCTCCTCATGCACGTATGTAGTTAGAGTGTTCTCCTCATGTATGTGTGGAGTTAGCATGTTCTCCTCATGCATGTGTGGAGTTAGCATGTTCTCCTCATGCACATGTGGAGTTAGCATGTTTTCTCCATACATGTGTGGAGTTAGCGTGTTCTCCTCATGCATGTGTGGAGTTAGCATGTTCTCCTCATGCACGTGTGGTGTTAGCATGTTAACTCCATACATGTGTGGAGTTAGCATGTTTTCTCCATACACGTGTGGAGTTAGCGTGTTCTCCTCATGCATGTGTGGAGTTAGCATGTTCTCCTCATGCACGTGTGGTGTTAGCATGTTAACTCCATACATGTGTGGAGTTAGCATGTTTTCTCCATACACGTGTGGAGTTAGCGTGTTCTCCTCATGCATGTGTGGAGTTAGCATGTTCTCTTCATGCACGTGTGGAGTTAGCATGTTTTCTCCATACATGTGTGGAGTTAGTGTGTTCTCCTCATACACATGTGGAGTTAGCACGTTCTCCTCATGCACATGTGGACTTAGCATGTTAACTCCATACATGTGTGGTAGTTAAGCCTGATTTATACTTCTCCGTCAGCTCCACTAGGGGCTCCGTCACCTGGGGGGCGTGGCAAAGCAATTTCCTGCCAGGACAGCAGAAGGCGTAGCGCTTTTCTGTGGTATCCTGTTACCGTTACACTCATGTATCTGGTCCACAATAGTGTATTTACTATTGTGTTTATGTTTTTCAGAGACTTTATAACACAAACAAATTAGTCCTTCATTCTCCTCCTCCTCTAAACCCACGTTTCCTGTCATTTTCATCTACAGTTGTGGTCAGAAGTTTACGTACACTTGTAAAAAATATAATATAATGGCTCTACTGAGTGTCCCGTTGTTTCTAAAACTCTGATTTTTCTCTGATAGAGTGATTGGAACAGATACTTCTTTGTCACAAAAAAACATTCATGAAGTTTGGTTCTTTAATGTCTTTATTATGGGTTAACAGAGAAAAGTGATCACATTTGCTGGGTCACAAATATACATACAGCAACATGAACTAGCAATTTTGGTGACTTAGAAACGTGTCAGTGAACTGAGCTTCATAGCATGGCCTCTTAACTTCTTGTGAGTGATTATGAGTGACTACAGCTAGTGACTTCTCTTAGGCCAGGTAAATAGGGCTCATTGGAAACAAACTCCCACAAACGCTACAATGGGAAAGTCAAAGGAGCTCAGCATGGATCTGAAAAAGCGAATTATTGACTTTAACAAGTCAGGAAAGTCACTTGGGGTCATTTCAAAGCAGCTGCAGGTCCAAAGAGCAACAGTGCAAACAATTGTTTGTAAGTATAAGGTGCATGGCACTGTTTCATCACTGCCAAGATCAGGAAGAAAACGCAAGCTATCACCTGCTGCTGAGAGAAAATTGGTCAGGAGGGTAAAGAGTGAACCAAGAATCACCAAAAAGCAGATCTGCCAAGAATTAGAAGCTGCTGGAACACAGGTGTCATTGTCCACAGTCAAACGTGTTTTGCATCTCCATGGACTGAGAGGCTGCCGTGCAAGAAGGAAGCCCTTGCTCCAAAAGTGGCACCTTAAGGCTCGACTGAAGTTTGCTGCTGATCACATGGACAAAGATAAGACCTTCTGGAGGAAAGTTCTGTGGTCAGACGAAACAAAAATCGAGCTTTTTGGCCACAATGCCCAGCAATATGTTTGGAGGAGAAAAGGTGAGGCCTTTAACCCCAAGAACACCGTGCCTACAGTCAAGCATGGTGGTGGGAATATTATGCTGTGGGGCTGTTTTGCTGCCAATGGAACTGGTGCTTTACAGAGAGTAAATGGGATAATGAAGAAGGAGGATTACCTTCACATTCTTCAACATAACCTAAAATCATCAGCACGAAGGTTGGGTCTTGGGCGCAGTTGGGTGTTCCAACAGGACAATGACCCCAAACACACATCAAAAGTGGTAAAGGAATGGCTAAATCAGGCTAGAATAAGGGTCTTAGAATGGCCTTCCCAAAGTCCTGACTTAAACCCCATTGAAAACATGTGGACAGTGCTGAAGAAACAAGTCCATGTCAGAAAGCCATCAAATTTAACTGAACTTCACCAATTCTGTCAAGAGGAGTGGTCAAAGATTCAACCAGAAGCTTGCCAGAAGCTTGTGGATGGCTACCAA